ATGTTTAATGCTTTGCACAATGGGTAGATAATCATTTAATCATTAACCTGATTAAAATACAGGTTCATGATTATGTAACAAATGGATTTAGAAAAAGAACATATTTGTTCATAATAATTTCTTAAAATCTTGACATAAAATATCTAATCTTGCTAGATGAGTAATGTCCTACAAGAAAGATTTCATTGGTCTGTGAAATAGTCATTTGTTCTCATTCTTCTCGGTATGAAACAGCCTCTCTTACAAAGAGCACAAGTGAGCACAAGTGGACTCACATTTTATTCTGTTGTTCTTGGCCTAAGCAACTGAGTGAATAATCCTGCCATTTTTGGGATTGAGAAAATATGAGAAGGAACACCTTTTTTTGTTTTTGTTTTTTTCAGAGAAAGGTTAATATTAAGAACTAATTCTGGTATTCAGAAATCTAAGGCTGGAGGTAGACATTTGGGAGTCATGATCATATGGGTGGGAAGGCCATGAGGGTAGCTATATTGGAGCCTCTTTTGGCTACAGAGCATGTTTAAACAGTGGAGCAGAAGGTCATAGGAAAGCGACAACTAGCCCATGCCAACATTTAGAATTTGAAAGAATGAGAGGAGGAGAGTCAAGCAAAAGAGAAAGAAAAGAGGAAAACCAGAAGAATGTCTTGGCTGCTGAGTAAAGAATCTGTTCAAGGACGGAGTGATAAGTTATGTCAGCTGTTGCTGAGAATTTGAGAAAGTTGAGGACTGAGAATTTACCCTTAGATTTGAAAACATGGAGACTATTGGTGACTATGACGAGGGTGGTTTCATCAGAGGGCTGTGGACACCAACTACATTTTATTCTGGAGAAAATGGAATGTGAGAAAGCAGATTTATGTAGCTAGAATTAATTTCTGCCCCCTGAAATTTAAATGTGTTGTACATTATATATTTAAATAGCAATGCTAATATAGGAAGGAACATTCATAAACAATTAAAGAGTATTAAAGTATTAAAGTATATTATCATGACTGTACTTCTTGTAAGTACCTACATGCTTCATATTTAGTCCAAGATTCCACTTTGTATCTACTTATATTATAAAACGTTCTATTGGGCTTTAATAAATGGAAAATCTCCTATTTAAGAATCTGGTGCTAATTCATCTTATTACATCCTCTGGGCTGAGTGGAGGGAATACATACATATATATATATGTATGTATATATACCTATTGTGTATATATATATATATATATATATATATATATATATGTTATCATCTGATATGTACGTGTGTGTGTGTGTATATATATATCAGATAATCTTACATCATCATAAGTAGGACAGGTCAGATATACCTGTGTTTAAATTCTGACTTTTCTCTTTACTATCTATGTGACCCTAGCTAGTTACCTAATTTTCTAAGCCTATTTCCTCAAAGACAAAATGTGGACAGTAATGACATGAGGATAAATTAAGATAATATGTCTTAATTATTTAGCATGATGTTAGGCAAATAGTAAGGACTCTGTAAATGGGTGCAAATTTGCATTGCCGTGATTATTGTCTTGTTCTTGAATGGGGCATAACTTAAATATGATGCAATTTAGTAAACAGAAGATAGGTCTTCTAATGAGCTGCCTGAGAGTAAGCCATACCTTATGAGCCATAGTGTTTTATTTGTATTACTCTGTACATGTTTATTTGTTTCCTTGCCTTTAGTAAAGTTGTATGAGCATAGTAGGTAAGACTACTGGCTCTGTAGATTTGTAATCTTAATCCCCTGGAATGACCTGGGTAGTCCAGCTCTATCTTCCTATCTTTTCACGTCTAATCAGCACTGCTAGTGATGAAAGCTAACATGTATTGACTGCTTCCTAAGTACTGAGCACCATTCTAAACATTCTGTAGCTGTTAACTCATTTAAACCTCTTAGCCCTAGGTAATAGGCACCATTATTACCTCCATTTGCCCAGATGAGGAAACTGAGGCATAGAGAGGTTAAAATAACTTGCCCAAAAATGACGCAGTTGGTAAACGTGAAGCTGGGATTCAATCAGCCCGGCTGGTCACACAATTTTCACTCTTAACCTCTTCGTCCTAATTCCACTTGGGATGATAAGACTACATTAAATTATCACAGCTTTCCTGTAGTACAGATAGTAAAGTGGGACCGGTATCCGCCCCCAGCAGTTCATGAGTGGCTGATGATTTGTGTGGGGGTCAAGGTGCTAGAGCCCACCTCCAGTCACCAGGGGACACACGGTTCCGAGGGTCAGGTTCTTTGCTGTTTATACCCTAAGAAGAAAGAGTCTTTTTTTTTTTTATTAAGTCGTCTAAGAAGTTTTCATGTACTTAGCAAGAAAGCTAAATTAAGCTCTGCACTGGGTAAAATTATAAACATGCTCTCTGCTCCAAATGAGTAAGTATATATAAATAGAACAATTGGTACACATGGCCTTAATGGTATAGCTTCCCTGTTTTCTTGTAATGTAAATCACCAAATGTGAGCATTTCCACCTGATAAACTGTCAGTCTCAGAAGAGCATATTCAATACATATTACATAACAACCAAGTTTGCCCTTTTCTTGAGCATGGTGTTTTTTCTTTCCACATCCAGCAGTTAGTACTAAGGCCTAAAACCCTTAGTTACAGAACAAAGTGGATTAGCAGTAATCGAGCCTGTGTGAGGCTAAGGGAAGAATAATGAACATTCCCTGCAAGCTTCCTGCCTAGATGCAGGTGCAGGAATCAGGAGGTCATGAATAATGCATGACATGCAGATTAGGTGGTGGTTTCTCCTACTGAGGTTTTGACTTTGCTACCTGCCTGGCTTCTATATGCAGAAAGAAGCAGAACAAGATGGTAAAAAGTGTCACAGTTTAAAGACTGAGCTCACAAAACATGCCATATCCTTTTGAAGAAATACAATTTAGGGAGTTGGTGAAGAGCAAGGCTTATGGTCTCCTTTATAAGGTGGAGTATGTGCCAAGTTATCAGTGTATTTACAAAATAAAGCTTTCTTGATTTACCTTTTTAATTTAAGAAACCATATAATTATTTGTTCATATACTCACAATCAGGACTTCTTTTCCAAAGACTTTCCTAAGGAATTCTTTTCCTCAGACTGCTAAACCATTATAGAAAAATCTTCATTTATAGTATTTGATCTATGGATCAGTGAAATTTTCCTTAAAAATACAAATACCTAGAGAATGGTATAATTATGGATTAAACAGACCCTATTTTTCACCACTAATGTATGCAATCAACAGCATCAATAAGAGAATACTTCTATCATTAAACTTCACCCGGTGGAATTTTCACGATCAAGTAGTTTCTCTGTACTCCAAGTTAAGGAGGGGACAGTGAAAAAGGTAAATGTCTAAAGGATAGAGAAAAAGAACTGTGAGTATCTGGAGCTGATTCAACTTTAATTAAAAAGGACTCCGATACACCAGTGAGGGTATAGGGAAAGTTCAGGAGAATTTCCTGCATTTCCTCTTAGGTTAGGGGGCTTTAACTGGGGAGAAGTTTTTTGGCTCAGATATCCATTTTAAGGATTGTATTTCAAGCAACAGATAAAAAACCAAAAGAATAAAAGAGGAAAAAAATTACTCTTGCTACCTTTCGTATAATTTTTACGTACTTTTTTTGCATTCCCCCCTCTTTGTTCAATTTGGGAAACTGGATTATGAACTGGCTTTCATTTCTAGCAGAGTCTGTCATTTCCACTAGGCCCCAGTTTGGCTGGATGCCAAGACCAACAGGTGATCCTTGTAGCTGCAAAACAGCAGGAAGTGGGCCGTGCTTGAATGAGACAGTTCACCAGAGGGGCTGTCTGGCCTCTCTCCATCTTTCTGCATAATTAACATCCCCTCCCCCATGCCGAGCAGAAAATCTGTGCTGAGCAGCTCAGCTGCAGCAGTCATTGAGAAGCACCGTGAGGAAAAGAATGTTAATAAGGGATGTTGGAAGAAATAAGCCTTCCGAGTGCAAAGTGCAGTCTGGCCCTGGGTTTAGGGAAAGACTACAGTTGGCCCTTAGGCGGAGCTGGAACTGCATTATCTGTTCTGGAATGATTTTCACTTGCTAAACAACTACAGAGAACTGTATTTCTTAACAAATCTTGGAGCTGTTGGTGCTAACAGGACTTTAAGACCAGTTTTATATATCCATTTGTTTTTCTTGTAAATAAAAGCAGTGTATGAAGTGTAAAGGGTGAAGGTAATATAAGCTAAGACTGCTTAGATCTCACAAATCCTGGTAAAGATAGACCAAAACAGGAAGCTGGCAGCCGGAAGTAGGGCATATTGTTTTCCCAGTTAGTGACCCACTAAGAGGTGGAGGTTTACTAGCCAGGCTTTGATTGGAGGATAACAGCAGTTCCCGGAAGCTTTAAGCTATTTCCAGTGGGTGAGTCCAACCCTGGAAGCTTGTAAAGCAATATATTCTTCACTTCTCCTTTATCCAGCTAAAGTTTTGAATTGGCTTTACCTTCTTCAAAGGCCAGTGGTAGCACATCACTTCCAGAAGGTACTTCTCGTAGGAGTACCTGTTCACTCTTCCTTCCTCCCGTGTGCCCGCAGATTCTGTTACAGCACATTTGAATCAAGTCGTCTTGTTCCCTAGAGTTTTAAATGTAGTAGACTGAAGAAGGGGTCACTTAGATGCCTATTTGGGCCCACCCTCATGACAACAAGTACAAAGAGGGCTTACTGAAGACAGACCCCATACCTTAGGTAACCTTTACCCAGTCTTCTTGCACCAGGCGAGGGATAATTGGACTGAATGAGTGCATCAGTCCTGCCTCAGGGAGTCTTCCGTGTCTTGAGAGTGGTTAAGAAGGAAAAAAGGACCACAGATTTGCAGGCATAGGAATTTAGTTGCATCATTTACTAAAAGGGGATCAAGTTCTGGGATTTTATATTAAGCATTTCTAAAAGAGATTATTTATAAAACAGATGCCATTTTTTAAATTTGCAATCGGGAATGTGCTTTTTCAATGACTGGATTGTTCTCATCTGTCTACAGGGTACATCCGTCCCCAGTATCAAGGGTCCGGGGAAATCGAATGAATAATCAAAAGTTTGCTTGGTGAGTATAGTCTAATATGAGTAATTGTAGGTCTTACGGGAAATTTTAATAGGGCTTGTGTTAAAATTAAGAGAATTATTCCTACTTCTCTATATAGACTACATTTCTACTTACTGGACTATGTGGTCTTCCTTTCCTCTGGACAGCTCTAAATAAAAATTGACAGAGTTCCTTTCCAGCAAAAACTCTTCATTCACCAAAAACCCTGAGTGTAACATTTATTTTAGCAGATATGATCTAAGCTCCCATTTAAGAGTATTTTCCTTTTTTCAAAGATATATAGACCCAGATATTTCTCAGATACCAACTTCAACTTCTCACGAAGATTTTCACAGTCAATGAATCTGTTACATTAGTTTTGGGGTTACAGCCTCAAGGTTTTTTTTTCCTTGCCTTAGCCTTAAATATCCCGGTTTTTTTGTTTGTTTGTTTTTTAATTTGGGGACTGCTAAGATCCTCCTTAACTGATTGAGTTCTCAGACAAAACTACAGATGGAATTTTGCTGAAACCACCTGAAAAGTTGTTTCAACAACAAAACATTGATTATTGATTCTTTAGAGAAGCAATTTAAAGTGCTTCACAGATATTTGATGTGAAACAACAAAAAAAGTAGGTTCAAAATCTGTATTTGTTTATATTGCTCCATTTGACAAAATTAACCTTTTCACACATAATGTATTGTTAAGAGAAAAAAAAGAAAGATAAAACAATGAACTGTGGCTATATTAGTTTAAAGATGAATGGAAATTCCATTTTACTTCATTGAATTATACTTAGAATGAGATTTTGATTAAAACTATGGCTTTTTTTTTTAAGTATGGGAAGATGATTACCAAAGATTGAGCTTCCAAATTAATTTTATTCCTAAATCAGGATTATTTTTAGACACAAAATAATGACACTTTGAATTTGAATCATGCCTAATCAGCTCACCTCCCTTCCCCCATTAAATCTAATTAACTCTCACAATAGCTTGGGCATGTTGTTAAATATTGTGCTTTTCGTTTTCACAGAGCGGGAAATGGGGCACAGAGGATACTGTCATTTGCTTACACCCTGCCTCAGAGGCGGAGCATCCTTCCTGGTCTCTTACCATTGCTAAAGCATATTATCCCCTGTTCGACCTGGAAAGCTAAGGGGGTAGTAATCTAATGGTCACTAAGTAAAAAGAAAAGTAGAAATCGGGTCTGTTCTTGACTCTTGACTTACCTCACGCCATAAGCTAATGGGTAGAGTACAGAATTGTCAAGTATGAGATCCAGTTTCTGCAACGTGGTTTTCAGTGGCTAAATGTGAAACATGGAGTAAATAACAAAGTTTCTTTTCTTGACTTTTCCTCTCTGAAGTATTGAAGTAATGATGTTCCCACATAGTTCATAGCATGTTGTTTGTTTAGTAGGTGTAAACCACTTGTATCTCCAGAGAAGTAATCCATGAAAGACAAAAGTGATGTTTACTACCAGCCTTGAGAAAATTCAACTTTTATTTATTCTGCAACATTTATTTACAGTCCCAGGCACTGTAAGCAGCACTAGATTAGAAAGATAAATAAAACATAGTTTCTATCCTAAGGGGTCTACCTGTCTTCCAGGCAGATGTGTATATGTATGTGTGTGTGTGTGTGTGTGTGTGTGTGTGTGTGTGTAATGACACACACACACACACATACGATATCACACAAGCACATAATATGCAATGTGGGAAGTGCTCCAAGGAGATATATTTATAATGTTTAGAAGGAGAAGTTAGCAGCTTTATTTAAGATGAATTTGAGAGTTTATACTTGGGAGTGGGGGGAATATAAAGGAAAACAAGGCTGTCAGAAAATCCCTCCCAAAGAAGAAAGCTTTTGAGCAAAGACCTAAAATTAGTAAGGAAAGCAGGGTTGAGCTAGTTCTTCCTTTATCGATTGATGCACGCATAGAAAGACCTGGAGATATTTCTAAATTGACTCTAGTAGGAGCATACATGGATTTAATACGTGTACTTTATTTGGTCATGAGCTAGCTAAGATTTCTATGATATATACTACCTTAAATCTTCCTTAGGTAAATACTGTGAGTCTAGTATATGGAAATAAATCACCTGGCTAGGAAGAAGCCCCATGAATCACCCAGCCTCTACTTCTAGTAAAATGATAAACACTTGTTATTTCTTTGTGAAATATTGGCCCAGGAAATTCAGAAAGTTTAAACACTCAGGCTGGCAATGAAGAGGAAGGGAAAGTGATAGTCGCTCTCCCCTATCTATCAACTGAGTAATTTGTAGGATTAGATGTCAAGTTCAACAACTAGCTTGGCTCTGGGTTGGGTTCAACCCGCAAATACTGTATTTGAGAATTAGGAACACTGATTTTTGTGAAGGTGGCTTACCAAATACCCCAATCAGTTAAAAAAAATAGTCTTCATCAGATCAGTAATTAAAGTTCAGGGAAAGAAAAAGCCTCCAACTTAACACTATTAAGGTATGTATAGGTAAGCTATGAAAATCAGTAGGTTGGGAAAGCCTGTAGCTGTTGTTGAGCTCCCAAACCAATGTTCATTATTGGGTTAAGATGGTTTAAATTTTTAAGTAGCATTTTTCTTTGCATAATGTTATAAGAGGTGGCATCCGCTGGCCTCATTCATGTGGCAGCATTTCCTCTGGAGCTGAAGAAAAAGAATATCTGTATAAGGCAAACAAAATCTGCTGGAATTGAAAGTGTGGCAACATTGTACATACCCAGGGAGGAGATGAGAGCACCAGGGCCTAAGAATTCCAATGGCATATGTTAGAATGGAACCAGGCTTGCTAACTCGAAGGGATTAAAGAATGGCAATAAGAACTTCTCGCAGGGTCTATGAGCACCCCAATGACAAATACCAGATCATTGTACAACTCATTTACTATTGAGTTAATTAAAGGTAGCAAGCCAGGCCAGACATAAACTCTGTTTATCAGAAAATCTGTCCCCTCAGTACTGCCACACACTGGGAATATTTACCGATTTGAAGATCGATGAAGCCTTTGGGGTTCAGCCGTGTGAATTTCATTCTCTATTTCATCAGACCGCTCCTTTTTCCTTCACCCTTGGCCCTAAATGGAGGTGACCATGCCTTCCTTTCTCCAGTGACTGTGGTAGGGAAGTAAAAAACTCTTTTCCTTCTATCCATCTGAGGTTGATTGGCTGGGGCCCTGTAAATTAGAATGACAAGAGATTAACAAAGAAAAATGAGCAGAAGTTTATGAACATGTGCATTTACATACACATGGGAATGAGTAACTCAGAGGGGTGGTTAGAGCTTAGACTTCTATAGCATCTTAACGACAAGTAGTTTTTTAGAGAAGTGAAAAAGACAAAGGAGAAGGATTTTTAGCTTCTAGGGGATACAATCGTACAATCATAAGGAGGTAAATACGTGGGAGAAACTAATGGGAGATAAGGGACAGTTGGTGAGATTTGTTGTGCAGATTCCTCTGATGCCATCTGAGTTGATAAAGGAGAGCTGTCTTCAGTGATTAAGAATGGCCTTGCCCTTCCTGGTAGAAAGAGGGAGAGACTTTTTCTTGTGTCTCCTCCGTTTTCATTGCCGTTAGCTCATAATAATTCTTATGCCAAAGTGACAAATTTTGGAGTGGCATATTCTACTACACTTCACATTATAAACCATATTTAGAATACTCGCCACACATTCTTGCATATAATAATGCCAGAAAAAAAAAACTGTTTTTCTCCATTTGAGGCAAATTTGGAAAACTTATTAGATAATTGAAAGTGAAGACAGAATTTTTTTCTTGGCAGATCTTTTTAATTGAAATGAGTATATTCTGATATCAAATCCACAGGAGAGTGGCTGTTTCCAGGTCATATTCAGCTGTTCTATTCCTAAATATATAACAGAAATCTGGAAGCTACCTTTTGGTGTGCCTGTGTAGCTGGCATAGGACAGGGAGGTATTTGGTGGGAAATATCTGTGAACCAAATATTTAGGTTGACTTAAGGCTCCTGAAATTTCTAGAATCTGTGTTCATATTCTAAAGACATGCACATTTACATATGCTCATGTTTAGATTTTCAGTTTTCTTTTCACTCCATCCTGCTCCATTTCTCAGGTTTTAAAGGACCTGGGCATGTGTTGTTGCTTGATAATGGTAATGGTGGTGATTGTGCTGTTTACCTAAAACATGTATCAAGGGCTGTTATGTAACAGTGGTAGTGGGAGTCACATAATAGAAAATCTATGGGACATTTATTGATAACATAGGAAATAAAGCATTATTAATAGTAATCATTGGCCGGGGTGGTGGCTCACACCTGTGATCCCAGTAGTTTGGGAGGCCAAAGCTGAAGAATCGCCTGAGCCCAGGAGTTTAAGACCAGCCAGGCAACATAGTGAGACTCCATCTCACTATTTTTTATTTACTTTTTAAAATGAGCCAGGCTTGGTGGTATGTACCTATAGTTCTAGCTACTCAGCAGGCTGAGGCAGGAGCCTCGAGACTAGGAATTCAAGGCTGCAGTGAGGTATGATTGTGCCACCACACTCCAGCCTGGGCCACAGAATAAGACTCTGTATCTGAAAAAACTATGTATGAATCGTCATTAGGAAAATAGAAGTAATTTTATAGTTTTCTTTAACCAATTGGATGCTGCCACTACCAGTCTCAATTATGATTTATTTCTTACCAGTGTGCCTAAGATTTTATGTGGCTATATACACAAAAAGGCTCCAGTGTTAATGGAGTCTCTATGCAAAATATAATCATTCTGAGTATGAATCATATTTCACATTTGGCTGTGAAAAAGTTCTGTGTCACAAATTTTTGTGGAGGGCAGGAAGAATCTTTTCACACTTTAATGTTTTCATGTGGATATATAGCGCTACAGTGAACTTAAATATTTATATTCATACAGTTGCAAATGTTAAACATGACTTCATGGAATCTTTTTGAGGGATATAACTAGGAGAATTTTGTCATAAAAGTAAGAACATTCTTTCTTGCTTAAACCTTTTTCCTT